CACACACACACACACACACACACACACACAAATAAATTTAAAGATAATCATCATGTCCTGCAAACATGTACTAATAGAAAATAAAAATTAAAAAACAAAAAGCAGAAATGTCAGTTACAGTAAAAAAAAAAAAAAAGATGTACTGGATACATGCAACAGTTCTACAGAAGAAATGTAAATGTGTACTGCAAACATGTACTAATTTAAAAAACGCCACCAAAAAACTACACTTTTCCAACATGGTTAAAAAAACCATATAAATCATATCACTGATGGTGACAGTTTAGTTCTGCATAAGCTCAGTAGGGTGAATGCTGCAGATGTTCCAGGAATAGATGAATTTTTTTTTTTTTTTTTTTTGGAACTGGAGATTGAACTCAGGCCCTTGTGCTTGCCAGGCAAGCACTTATTCTACTGAGCTATCTCCCCCGCCCCAGATAGATGAGTTTTAAAATGAGTTTGTAATCATTGTTACCTTTTTTTAATGGAATGGCTGACATACTTTAATTTGGCTGGCGTTTATTATTGTTCTGTATCACTTCAAATGTTGGCTGACAACCCATGCATCTACTCTGAAACACGAAAGGATGCACCTGCCAGCTCATTCATTCAGTGGCTGTGGTGGCGCAGCTGCAGGGCAGCTTTGGGGAGCACTCACCTGGTCAAGGGGTTTTGCCGGAGGACAAGTCACCGGGTCTTGGCAGACACAGCGGGGTTTTCCCTGCGGTTCAGCTTTGCAGACGTGCCCTCTTTTACATGGGAAGTTCACACAGGAATCTAGCAGGAAAGCATGGAAAAAGGAACAGGACAAAGAGGGATTGAGCATGTGAATGCGAACTCAATTAGCTTCATTTTCATTAGGAAAGCAGAAAATTTGAAACCCTTGACATTGGTGCCTTTGCCAACAGGGAAACATGAGAAACCACTTGAATTGATGTGCTAATTTCCAGATGGAGTTTCTGTCATCAGACTTTAACATGGTAGTTTAGATTTCTTCTTGCAGCTCATTCTCCGTAGGTGTAAGAGGAAGCAGCTTTTGTTGGCCTGCCTGGATTGCGTAGTGTGAAGTGTGTCAGGCAGATGGCTCACATGTTACACAGTGCAGGAGAATTTTATTAAAATTGAAAATGTTTGTGAATGGGTAGGAGTTAGGCCCTTCATTGAGTGAGGCATCTAAACTCAGTAGTAAAATATGGATTTGAGAATCCATGAATAAGGTTGAATTAATTCACAGAAGCAGATTAGCTTTGCGGTGATATCCCAGTGGGGCTTTTGGTTTGTCAACACGCTAATCCAGAGTTTATCAAACAAGCACAGGAAGATATCAGCAATTATGGGAACATGTCCTTGCAGAGGACTGGGGAGAGGGAATGGAGGGGTAGAACGAGAATTTGTCAAAGTGGGAGATTGACAGTGGCAGGTTCCTTCACTCCCTGGACAGGATCCCAGAGGGCTGGCTGCTGTATACTCACCAGCACCATGCATCCACACGTGGCCTTCACTCGCAGACTCTTCTTCATTTGATGAGCTCTGTGCTTGCTTGGCCTTTAAAATAATGAGAGCAAAAGTTAAGTCCTGTTGGAGGAAAGTTGTTAATTAGTTTCCACATTATAAATTATGATTTATATCCCTTCTGTGCAAGGTTCTCAGGCACGAGCAATGTCAGGTTGAGAAGAGAATCAGCAGCAACTGCAGAGGTGGACGGTCAGCTTTGGAGGGCAGGGCCTTGTCTGTGTTCACCCACTGCAGGCAGAGCTGCATCCCGGGGGACCCTTCAACATGCGCTGAATTTCCTTTTTGGAGTTGGAAAACACTAACAATGCTCATCCTGATAACCAGTGTAACTCAATGAACATCATTATAAATATTGTTACCTCTTGATGGTCTCCAGGCTCACTGGCATCTACATTCTCATTCTTAGGTGCTTTTCCTCTCTCCTCCTCATATCTGAGCTGGTAGGAAATGGACTGGGCCTTTTCAGCATCTATAAAGTCCTGGTTTGGGACATAGTCATCACTTGTGCTGTGCTGGGAGCCATCACTGAGCCCATCAGCATCAGTTTCTTGATTTCTGGGTGTGACATGACTATCATCAGTAGGATCCAAGAGCAGAGCCTCAGAAACGGTCTCTTTATTTCCATCCTTAAGGCCTATTTTTCCTTCTTGGCTCTGCCATTCAGTGTCTTGACTGTGTTCATTGCTGTTTGCAGCATTGTCCTCATCTATTTCTGCATTAGAGTTGTCTTCTTTCTTTTCCTGGGTACCTTGCTCAAGCTCATCCTCCTGCATCTTGCTTACTTGAGTTGGTTGATTGGACTCTTCCAAGGTATCATCAGATTTCTTATTGTCTTCTTGCTTGTTGTTAGAATTCTCCTCGGCAAATTCTTTCTCCCTATCTGGGTTATCCGTGGGGGTGCCAACTTCCCCTGGCTCTGTTTCCTCTTCCTCTTCTCCATTAGTGATGTTTGGATTCTGCTCTTGGCTCTCTTCTTCTCTTAGCTCTTGTCTGTGTGTGCTATTCTTGTTCAACTGAAGATGTGAATCATTTCCTGGCTGTTCTTGATTTTCCTCTCCCTTTGTGCTATTTTCATGTTGGTTAGAATCCACAAAGGAACTAACATTGGAGGCAAGGAAATCAATATTCTCTGGGAGTTTTTTCTTCTGAGGCTCATTTGTGTCTTCTAAGCTACCTTCAGTTGGTGAATACTCTAAATTCACATCATCATCGCTGTTCTGATCTTCCAGCCCCAGCTCGGGGCTCTGAGTCTTGTCTTCTTCTGCTGACTGTTCATGGGTTTCCTCTTCTGACCTTAATGTTGAAGACTGTTCAGCCTAAAAAGAAAAAAAAAAGTTTATTTACTAAACAAATGATAATACAATCACATTTACAGTTCCTAAGGTAGCATTTAATGTTTATTTTTCTTTTTCTCCACATATCATCATGCAAATATATCTATGATATTCTTTGCATTCTGTAGATACCTGTTTAAAGTGAATTGGAATTACAAAATAAAATAAGGATGTAGCACCTTAGCCTGAGGAGTAAAACTCATTAATCCTCATGACTTCTGATGATTACAGGTAGTTGGTGGGATAGCATGTTCAAAAAAATGACATGGAGACTTGAATAAAGTAATTGTTTTGAAGTTGCTTTGATATTAAGTCCTTATGAGAACTAAAAATAGTATATTAATATGACGATGTTACTCTTACCTTGTGGTTGTGGTGGTTCTCTGTGGATCCCGTGGCTTCCTTTTCATTGTCTGCAGCTTCAACCCTTACAATAGGGATTTCCTTACTGGTGGGTGTTACCAGTGTCTCAGTGGTTGGTTTGGAAAGATCAGATAAAAATCTTGCATTTGTCTGAAAAGATTAAAGACTTACTTGTGTTATGCATATCTAAATGCCAACTTCAAAGTTGATGTTTTTCTTTTGTTATCATTGTTATTAGTAGTTCTAAGATTCATTCACACCACCAGCAGAAACATATTCTCTAGAAATTTTAAGGATTCAAGTGAATATACTATTAAGTGTTGTTGTTCAGAAAAAGTTATATAGTATGTGCAAAGATGGGGTGAAAATAAAACAACAACAACAAAAACAGTTTAATAATGATGACCTTTGAGTTTTGGAACTATTTTCTATCCTTTAAACTTTTACAAAGCATTAGTACTGTGAAATTTTGAAAGGTGTTACATATTACAAATTTGAAGTCAAATGAAATTTGCCATAGGATATAGTGTTATAAATTTCCTTGATACATATATACTCGCTGATAATTAGCAGAAGAGGTTACAAAAACATTTTATTAAATATTTATTAATTTTTAATAGACAGGCCTTAGTATTCACCAGGAAATCATTTAATACAAAGTTTTAGCTCTGATAAATTGTGCTGCTATAAACATGGATGCACATATATCATTGTGGTATGATGTTTTCAGTTTTTCTGGAAAACTATCCAGGAACGAAATATCTGGGTTGGATGGGACCTCTAATCCTTGTTTTTTAAGGACTGTCCACATTGATTTCCGTAGTGGTTGTACCAGTCTCTACTCCCACCAACAGTGGAGAAGGGTTCATTTCCTCCCATATCCCTACCAGCATTTGTTGTTGGCCGACCTCTTGATGATAGCCATTGTTTCTGGATGAGATCGAATCTCAGTGTTGTTTTAATTTGCATTTATCACATGACCAATGATGTTGAATATTTTTTCATATATTTATTTGCCATTTGTATTTCTTCATTTGAGAAATGTATATTTATTTCAGATGCCTCTTGGACTAGGGCTTTGAGTTTTGAAATTTTTTTTTTTTAAATTTTAAGGAAGGGTCTACAGAGTGCTCAGGGTCTCACTATATGGATTGGACTCCTAGTGATTCTCCTGTTTTCAGCCTCCCAAGAGCTGGGATCACAGGCGCATGCCACCACACCCAGTCTCAGTTGCTGTCTCAGTGTTCCCTGGGGGCGGGGCCCTCATGGCAGGTCTGGGGATCAAACCCCAGCCTCTGTGCCTGCTTGCAGACACTTTAATCCACTGAGCTATTTGGCTGGCCCAAAAAAATTCTTTATATGTTCTAGATAGAAGTCCTTTCAGGGATATTTGGCTAATTTTTTTTTCCTATTCATGGGCTTTATTTTTCCTCTGTTGGTGATTTCTTTTCTTAGTTTTTGTTCATGAACTCTCTGCCTACCCCTAAGTCTTCAAGATTCGTACATACTTTCTCCAGTAGATTTAACAACCTAAATGCCTGTCACCTGAGGAATGGATAAAAAAGATGTGGTATTTTTATACAATGGGGTATTCCTCAGCTATAAAAAGGATAAACTTGAGGCTTTTATAGGTAAGTGGATGCAACTAAACACCGTACTTATAAGTGAAATAAATCAGACATAATATCATATTATCTCTCTGAAAGAGTAAATAAAATCTGAAAGGTACAGAAGATACTGTGAAAGGGCAAGAAATTGTTCAAAGGGAAGGAACAATTGGGATGAGGGAAAGGAGAAAAAAAGAAAAGAGAAAGAAATATATATGTATATACACAGCGTAGCTTGGATGATTGTACTGCTGATTTCTGCTGTTCTATTGAAAGGAGCAGTTAATACTTATTTTTGTCTCTCTTTAACTTTTTATAATCTTTTGACCAATTTTGCATGTTTATACCTGATAATATGAGCAATTAATTTGAATAAAACAACATGCCATCCAACAACCATTGTTGAATTCCTGTAATTTTGTTTAGTGAAATTCTGTGTTGTTTCTAATTTTTTGATGTTGTTGTTTTACTATTTTTTAATCCTCTTTAAAAAATAAAAAAAATTGTGAAACCAAAAAAAAAAAAAAAGCATTTTAATCTAGAGCTAGTTCAAAGATTATGTGAAGCCAGGCACCAGGCCTGGTAGATAAAGGTAACTGTGGAGGCTTGTCCCAGTGGGCAGTGCCAATTTCTAGTGGGAGGATGTGGAAGAGGAGAGAGGAGCTGGGCGGGGGTCGTGGTGAGGAAGTTGCATCTAGACTTCAAGGTGAGGTGTTCTTTCAGTTCTTGATTCCATTTACTTTCTATGTGTGGTTTGATAAGTTGTTAATTTCTACAGTATCATCTTTCAAGGTGAAGTGAGCAGAAATACCAAGATACATTTATGTACATAAAATATATTCTAAATTTTAAAGAATTACTCAAGTTAAAATAATTATTTCTAATATGTTATCATATGGTAGTAATAATATGAACTGCCCAGTCTCTAAGGCAGGTACTTGCCATATACTTTTCCTATGGAGATGCTGCAAATATCAGACAGCAGACATATCCAGATGTAAGTACAAAGCTTAAACTTGGAATAGACTCATTTTTACTCCATTAGCAAGTCCTATAGGCTGACTGTGCACTATAAAGGCAAGCTATGGGGTATAGATCTATCTTACATTTATTTTCTTGTTTTGATTCTCATCCCCTTTTCAACTAAAAGGGTTAATAGTCTTTGGCAAAGTTTCAAAAGAGGCCATAAAGAAAGAAGAAAAGGAAAAAGAAGGGGGTCTTTTTGGTGCGTTGCCATGGACGAGGATGATGGGGAGGTATTAGGCTCACTGGTGGAGGACCATGCTTCCTCTCTGCTTTGGTCCTTCTCCCCTCTGTCATATCCTCCCCTCTGCAGGAAGAAACACACAAAACCCATGGCTGCTCCTTTTCTTTTGGAAATATGTGGTAATTACAATTCTCCCCTTTCATCTTCCCCACAGTTGTATTTATTTAATATGCCCCCTGGCAATCTATTTGGACTTTTCCAACCACACAGATTCCAAGCAGGTGAGAAAAATGACAGTGAGGTTTTATTAGTGAGGTTAGTCCTCTGAGAAGATCCAGTATTTCACTTTAGGCTGGGTCTGCTTATACCATGTTGCACTGAAAAAGAAACATCTGGAATGTGTCTATAAGCAAGCATGGCATCCAACAAACATTTAGTTCAGAGATGCTTTTGATGCTTATTCACAAAGGCAAAACATTCAAAAGGCAAAACAGATTTTCAGGAGAAAACAATGGTTTGATGGGTGGGAACTCTTTTCTGTGGTAATTTGTTCCAACTTTGTAATTTCCCAGTGCAATGTGTAATTTCAGCTGGACTAGCTCCATGCTCCTCAAGCATGATTCTTAGCTGTGGTCATAAATTCTGTTTTCTAAGAACTACCCGAAATGGGTGGCATGGACTTTGTTATGTGGACACAGGTGTTGAACATTATTCAAAAAGCAAGAAGAATACTTTAGCCCTTGTGAGGAAAGGAGGCAAGGGACATCAGAAAAGTGGCTTTGTCTACTTAAAAGAGGTTCTCTCCTCCATTTGATGAAAAAGAAAAAAGTGGTATAAATCCTTTGATGTAACTGAAGATGATGTGGATCTTTTGTGGGACATTTAAAATGACCATCTGAACCCCAGCTCCACTTTCCGTGCTGCTTTATTTATTTTTTTTTCTTTTCAAAGTTTTATTGATAAACATATAGCAATGAGACAGTTTCAAATCAAATCGAAAGTACAGTTTCAACAAATAATACACTGCATATATTCTTCTTAGTGGTTAATTGCTGTACAAGATGCAGATTTGTGATCCTACTTACAAACACCATTAGAAAAAATCATTCTATTCATTAAGAGAATGCAACTATATATCTATCCCAACCACTTTGAATACACAGTTACAAAATGGACATTCATAGTTATACCCCAATTTTTTTAAGTTCCGGTGTTGAATATTATAGGTGTGTAAACTCAGCAAAATATTCTAAAAGAGTCCAGTAGCCCATAATAGCATTGGATCTTCTGTTTAATTGGCAATGTCAGAAATTATTGACGTGAGTCCCCCACAGCTCAACATAACAGCATGGCTTTACTTCTTATATTTTGTCTTCATACTTTTCTACTGGATGGTTAAGACCAAGGTAAAGCAGGACCTATGCAACAAGAGTTGTAGCTTTTTGGTTTGAGAAGGTCAGTGCAATGCCCTCAGGATTTATCCTGAGATCCTGTACCTCAGATTGTAGAACCTTTGTCAGTGACAGCCATGTGGATGAGTCACGGCCAATGCTTGGCCAATGTGCTCTCTGTGAAAGCCTGCCGTGCTGCTTTAGGTTGCTGATGTGCTCTTCAAGGATTGGATCTGTGTGCAGCTAGCTTGCTGCTTGCTAGTGATGGGACCAGTCCACCTGGCCCTAGAGGGGAGAATGCACTAGTCCTGTCTCCTTGCTTGGACAGCCTCAAAAAGATGAGCCAATTTGTGATAAACATGATAGAATTTTTGGTTCCTAACTGTTTGGTTCCCATTTTTATTATAGATTTAGAATTTCTCAGTCAATATGCATTTAATCTTGAAGAAAATATTGGCAAGTTACATATGCATTCTGAGTTAAATTCTATCTTATAGACATGGAAAAAGATCCATAGGAGAATTTATTCCTTCCTATCCTTTTGGAACCAGATTCTGTAGTTAATAAACTGATACCAACACCTTTAGCTCTGTATTCATTGCATCTTATAGACCAAGATTTGAACAATATTTATTTATTTTATCTTATTTTTTGTGGTACTGGGGGTTGAACTCAGGACCCTGAGCTTGCCAGGCAAGCATTTATTCTACTGACATATCTCCCTGGCCTCCTGAACAATATTTTTTATTTTTATTTTTTTAATATTTTATTTTAAATTTTATTTATTTATTTATTTGTGTGTGTGGCCAGCTCAGCCCACCAGGGGGCGGGGCTGGCTGGCATGTGGGGCTGGGGGAATTGAACTGCGGTCCCTGTGCTTTGCTAAGCTTGTTCTAAATAGGTGCTTTAGACCACTGAGCCATCTCACCAGCCCCCTGAACAATATTTTTTAAACATGCCTTATCTTGACTTTTTAAGTCATGCATTTATTGTTTGGGCACTAAAGATTATAATTTAAACAAATGAGATTTTTTAAAAAAAATTTTATTTATTTATGTGTGTGGCCAGCTCAGCCCACCAGGGGGCGGGGCTGGCTGGCATGTGGTGCTGGGGGATTGAACCACAGTCCCTGTGCTTTGCTAAGCTTGTTGTCAGTAGGTGCTTTAGACCACTGAGCCATCTCACCAGCCCTTAAACAAATGAGATTTTAAGCCAGTGCTTAAGAAAATATTTCAGGTGAAGGTCTTCTAAATTGAGTGTTAGGAGACAGGTAACAATAGAAGAAAGGAAGTTTACCGGGATTGCAGCTGCAGTTCCCAAGAGGCATAGCAAATAAAGTACAGTCTTCATGGTTTCTAGACCTGTGAACCAAGAAGATGATTTCAGTGATGAGTAGATGTTTCCTTAAAAGAGATAAGCACAGTCTTAACCAAAAGTGATTTTGATCTTGTCTTTTAGGTTATTATTGCCTTTATAGACTAACAGGCTCACAAAAACAGATTAACAATTATTACCTGATTTTTTCTCTTTGAAAGTTGCTTCTTAGGTCTTTACAATAAAATAAGCATTAAACTGTCAGCACTGCCACCACATGGCTAGAGACCCTGGGCAGATCATTTACTCTTTCTTAGAAATGGTTTTCTCACACGAGGAACAGTGAAAGGGTACCTAGGCAATCCTCTTGCTCTACCATTTTAGGATTCTAAAACTGCAAACAATTTTATGAATTTCATGAACTTCTAAGTGTGCAATCTTTTCATTTTAAATTAAGGGCCCTGTAAAATATATTGTGATCATGTCAAAATAAAATCATTTTTTACAAAGAACTTAAGAGTAAAATATATATGCTTTCTATCATTGATGATCATTTAACATTTTTTTCTCTACTTTCCAAAGCTTATTCATTTATTCCATAAGTATCATAATCTATTAATTTATAAAACTATATTTTCTTATATTTTAGGTCAATATTATACTGTTGTATCATTTTTGATAACTATAGAAATACAAATTAATACAATGTGGTATAGGATAGCGCTATTACATTTGGGACTGGGTTATTCCTTGGGGAGGGTTTGTCCTGTGATTGCCTTGGCCTCTACCCACAAGATACCCTTAGCTAGCTCATATTCCCTCCTGTTTATTTATTTATTTATTTTGGTATGGGGGATTGAACTCAGGACCTTGTACTTGTCAGGTCATCACTTGTGCCACTGAGCTATCTCCCCAGCCCTCCCTCCTAGTTATGACCACCAAAAATGTTTCCAGACATTCCCAAGCATCTCCTGGGGAACAACATTCAGAACTACTGGTTTAGTGCAAGGAGAATGGTGTTTTCATGTTATAAAGTCAAGAATTTGAACTCTGGACCAGCACAAGTCATTTGAGCTATCTTTGGCAAGTTATATAGCCCTGTGAACTCCATATCCCCCACCTAAGAATGGGAAGAATGGTATACCATCTATGACAGTTTATTATATGTGTCAATGGAATGGGTCATCAGATGCCCAGATATTTGATTAGACACTTTCTGGATGCCTCTGTGAGGTGTTTTTTTTTTTGGAGATTAGCATTCGAATCCATGGACTGAACAGAGGAGATTTCCCTGCCCAATGTGAATTGGGCATCATTCATTCTACTGAGGGCCAGATCAGTGCAGAAACCAGAGGCAACAAGGGTTCTGTTTGCCTGTGGTCTTGGTGGGATACGGTCTTCTACTGTTCTGAAGCTGGGGCATATACCATCGCCCTTGCCTTCTTCGGCCTCTGGACTTGGACTAGAATTCAGACCATCGGTTCTGCTGTCTCTTAGCTGTCAGGTTCAGACTGTCTCATTGATCTCCACCTCAGAATTCTCAGCCTTTGTAACCACAGGAGCCAAGTCTTTACAACAAATCTCTCTCAGTTCCATTTTTCTGGAGAGTCCCATGATAGTATCTAATGCAGTTTCTTAAAGTTTAGAAGGAGTATTAGTAAAAATGCCTGATATATAGGATTTGTTCAATAAATTTTAATTCTCTTGTTTTCCAAAGAAGTAGTTGTGATTTTTTTAAACCAGGGATTGAACTCAGGACCTTGTGCTTAGTAGGCACTTAAGCTACTAAGCTATCTCCTTGGCTCTGTTATGATTCTTTAATAAACAAGGTAGAGTTTAAGAAAATAATATACATTTTCCTAATAGGTGAGAAAAAAAAAATCCCAGTCTACATTTAAAGTCCACTTAAGCACAGATTTATCAAATTTCCCTTTAATCCTAGGATCCCTTCTTACATTAATCACAAACAATAATGGAATTAGGCCAAGAGAATATTACTATATTTTTTATAGCAAGAAGAGTGACAAATGTTGTGGATAGAAAGCTGAGGAATTTTATTTTTCTGAGTTTGGTTTTTGCATTTAATTAGGTAGCTACTTAAATTTGTTGAAATATTCCCTTTTTACTTTGACTACAGGATCTTACAAATTCCTCCACCTCCCTAATCCTAACTGTAGCTGAAAGTACCCAGAAGTGACATGTACCCTGTTGGCCTGTAGCTAGCACTACTGACTTTTAAAATCTTCCCCACAGTGTCATAGGTAAGCACTTTGCTGTGATCATTTCACTGTTACGGGAACTAAGGTTTTGACGTTGAGTAAACTTGTTTAAGATCACAGGGCTAACAAGTAGCAGAGCAGATCTTTGAGATCTGGCTATAGAGTTTTCCAGTATTCGGTCTCATGGACTAACCCATTCATGAGCTCAGAGCCCAAAGGGCTGGCTGGCTGGAGGCAGCCCTACCTGGATGAAGTAGGTCATGGGGATGGATGTTCTTCTGAAGGAGATAACTTGTCTGTGGTAACTTCTCCCGTGCCTTCCTTGCTTTCTACTTCCCAGCTACCTTGAAGGGAACAGCCTCCTCCCCCACGTCCTTACACCACGATGGTTCTACCTTAGAGCCGGTCAACTGTGAGCTGAAACCTTTGAAACTGCGACCTAAAATAACTCCTCCTCTAATTTGTGTATGTCAGGTATTTTGCTCCACCAATGAGAAGCTGACCAATACACACAGCTGCCTCCCATAGGTAATTTCAACAATCTCAGGAGCTCTGAATTCAGAATATATTTATTTATTTTTATTTTTTTGAGGTTATGAGCAGAATATATTTATTGAGAGAAAGAAAGCTCCTGTCCAAGAGAGAGACAGGAGGGAGGCCCGAGAGAGTAGTTCCCCCCAGAATATATTTAGATTTGCTTCACTCATTAAAAACAAGCTTACATATCTTCTATACATTTAAATTGTAGTCTTTTGCATGAATCTAATCCTTGTTTAGGAGATAAAAATATTTCCAAGTTAAGGTCTTTCTGTTCTCAACTGAGAGGTATTTTCACATTGGTTTTAACTCAAAGAAGATTCTGGAGTGCTGAGACCCCCTAGCATCCCTCTCATAGCTGTAGGGAACATTTAAGGCCTAGAACAAGTATACGGTTTCTAATGTAATGGCTAGTTTTGCAGGCTTTTTAAAATCCCATAATTTCCTGTATTTCTTTGATTGTTTACTTTGTCTCAGGGTGGAACTTTTTTAGGAACCTTGTGTTTATTTCCCACCTAAATTTGAAAACAGAATTTAAAGACTTGTCACTTAGAATGATTCAGGTGGGAAATAACCCCAAGTTTTAATAAATATGATGTCTGTGTTGAATTATGTGGGACAATCCAAAATTTAGAATTTAGAGAGAAAGAAGGAAAGGAATTTAGAAGACCAGGAGTTGTTCTGTTGTCCTCTGCTTTATCCATGAAATTCCGCCAAGCTGATTTTACTTGCCTCTCATTGATCAAAATAATTTCACAATCTTTAGGTTCTTATTTAAGAACTGCACAAATGTGCTGATCTGTATAAATAAGAGAACTCAGAATTTTCCTGGGAAATGATTTTTGAAAACAACTGTCATGCTGAAGACTCAGAGACTTAATTTGCTGATGCTTGCAAAATCATGATGTCCTTGTTCAGTATGATGAATAACATTTATTCTTGGGTAAGTGAAAAAGGATTTATTTTGAGACATTCAAATCTGGTGTGCTGCTTCTACCAAATGCAGATTTTTTTTTTTTTACTGTGCAGTAAAACTCTGGATGAAACATGCAAAAATGAGTCAGATTTTGAATGTACATAATTCTTTTTGAAAACTTAAATGTACATCATAGATGTGAAATTAGATAAACATTATTTATCCAAATGTATGAACTTAGTCAAAGCCAGATGTATAGTTGAAAGGACACTTGGTAAAGAATTGGAAGATCTGAGTTCCAGACTTAAACTGCCTTTCACCCAACGACTAGGGCGTTTAGGTCACTGATTTCTTCATCTTCATCTAGGAAAGATGGATAGCACCTTTTTTTTGTGTATTATCTAGGGTTATTTTGAGATTGAAATATGATCATTAGTCATTTGGTAATTTCACCACCTGTAGACATGTGATTATCACTTCTTGAAACACAGTGGCGGAAAATGGCTTAATCCCACTAACTGATAATTCACAAATCATCTATTTCTTAGTGTGTTTAAGTGACGTCTTTCTCTTTTATTCCACTGCCTACTTTCAGAACCTGAAAAAGGCTGAAGATGAGGGCTGGAGGGGACTTCAAGAAAGTCCCTTTCCTGCTCAATACAGGGTTAATCAGCACCAAACTCCTAGAATTTCAGGTGACCCAAGAGCTAGATTGCATTTTAAAGGTAAGGACTTTTTGATGATAGTCAGAATTTGGAATTCATTTCAAATGCTTAGCCAATCTCACATTAAAACAAATGTAGGGAAGAGATACTTGGCATGGCAGAAGAAGGTCTCTCATTGAGAAACAAACGTGAACATCAACTCTCTTCTGACTCACATTGTGAGCTTCCTGAGGCCCTTTCTTACATTTATAATGTAATATGTACAAATACTATGGTACAGATTGTAGTGTATCTTTGCTATCCCTCTCATGGAGAGGCAGAATCTAACTCCTACCCTTGAATCTGGGCTGTGCTTAGTGACTTACTCAACCAAACCATTGATGTTTGGGACTCTTCATAAGAAGCCCTGGAGTTTTCATTTGAGTATCTTGGAACACTCGTTTTGGGAACTCTAGCCACTTGAAACATGTTGTCATACCCCAGGAGATGTGCTTTAGTAGTCCTCGGTGACCCACCAGCTTCCTCTGTCCTTGCAGTGACTCAGGACATGTGAGTAGAGTGGTCGGGCACTGCAGACCAGCCTCTAGGTGGCATACCTAAACTTCTGGTTCACAAAATCTTGAGACTTGATGGAAAATAGCTATTAATTTGCTAACTTTGTACATAGCAATAAATAATTGAAGTGACTATTATCGATTTTATGTGGAATG